ACATTACAAAGCACAGGAGAGGGACAATTCTCCAGCAGGATAGCGCTCCTTCTCATACTTCAGCCTCCACATCAAAGCTCCTGAAAGCAAAGAAGGTCAAGCTGCTCCAGGATTGGCCAGCCCAGTCACCAGACATGAACATTATTGAGCATGTCTGGGGTAAGATGAAGGAGAAGGCGTTGAAGATTAATCCAAAGAGTCTTGATGAACTCTGGGAGTCCTGCTGAACGCTTTCTTTGGCATTCCAGATGACTTTATTAATCAGTGATTTGAGTCATGTCAGAGATGTATGGATGCAGTCCTCCAAGCTCATGATGGAGTCAGACACAATATTCATTCTGTCTCCACTGCAGCATGACTGCAAAATCAAGGCATGATCATATATTTTATTTTGGTAAAATAAGTGTAATCTAAAGGCCTTTGCCTTTCATATAAGACACTTCTGATACCAAATGATCAACTAGAAGTCCAGTTATTATTTGCTGTTCCTAAAACTTGGATTGGACAAGACTTTTGTCAGGTGTATATATTTTTAGTTTATTATATTTTTGACCATTATATATTTTTTTATTTTTCATTCATTTATTTATACATTTTGACATTGACTACTGATTTCTTATACACACTTATTTTCATTTATGTAATAATTTTTTACAAATTTATTAGCTCTTTTATTTAAAAGTTTTAGCTGCATTTTAAAGCTGTTATTTAAAGCCCTTTTTCTTATTTATTTAAAATATAATTTTTTTAAATGTCATATAATAATTTGTATTAATTTCTAACAGTGAATTTATTTGTATTTATTTTATTAGTATTTAATATTTATAATATTTTTTTATAATTAGATTTTTCAGACTGTTAATTTTTGTGTGTGTGTTATAGCTTTTCTATTTTGTCTAAAAAGTCTTATTTAAGTTGTTTTTCAAATATATTTAATATTTTTTTTATTTCTAACTAAATTTTATTATTAATAATAATAATAATAATAATTATTATTATTATCATAATTTGTAGTCATTGTTTTTAAATGTTTTGTATTGTTTTATAATATTGATTTTTTTAAACGTCACTTAATAATGTGTATTAGTTTCTAACATTGAATTTATTAGTATTTAATATTATTAGTATTTAATATTTAAAAAAAATTTATATACCATTTAATTTTTTGATGTTTTATAGCTTTTATTTTTTGTCTTAAAAGTCTTATTTCCTGAAGTTGTATTTTAAATATTTTTAATAAACTTTATATTATTTATAACTGTATATTTTATTTATAGCTATATTTTATTCATCCTCAATATTATCTATCATCATTTGTAATTAGTGTATTCAATTGTTTTGTATTTGTATTTATAGTATTGATTTATTTAATGTAATTTAATAATTTGTACTAATTTCTAACATTGGATTTGTTAGTATTTATTATTTATAATCTTTTTTTATAATTAAATCTTTAAAAATCTTTTACATTTAGTTTGTTTTATTTATAGATTTTCTATTTTGTCTAAAAGTCTTATTTCTTTAAGTTGCTTTTGAACTATATTTAATAAAATGTACTTTGTTGATAACTATTATTTATCATAGTTTTATTGTAATTGTTGTATTCAAATGTTGTGCTTTTAAAAAAAAAACAATTATAAAAATATTTTTATTTAGCTTTATTAACCATTAAATAAATTTTTAAATAATAATTTTTCTGAATCTTTTTATTTTATTTATGAATTTATTTTCTATGTTTTAATTTTTAGCTTTTGAAACTTGCGTTGCTTGTTAATTAATTCATTCATTCATTCATTTTATAACTTATTTTTCTTATTTGATTTGCACCAATTTATTTATTATTTGTTTGTTTGTTTTTTCCAGACACAAAAACCACACAATGGGAAGACCCACGACTACAGAATTCAGCCATCACTGGTCCAGTAAGTGTTTTTGGGTTCATTTTAAAGCTCTTATACAGTCAGCCGTTTGAACAGAAACAGATCTTTAATGGATCACATTGAGTCAGACTGCTGGAACACACAGTAATCTTCGCCATATCGTGTTTCTGAAAGTGTATCCTGATCCTGAAACCCTCTTCATTTCTTCCCTTTGGTTTCCCGTAAAGGGTTTGTGTGTGTGTGTGTGTGTGTGTGTGTGTGTGTGTGTGTGTGTGCGTGTGTGTCATTGATGTCTCAAAGTTATATTTGTCCTGAATGAGGAGTCAGGGGCAGATAAGAGCCGGTCAATTATTGGCCAAGTGATTGTGTTCTGCTTTATTTCAGGCCGTGCCTTACTCCAGAGACTATAAACAGAAGTACGAGTATTTCCGCAAGAAACTCAAGAAACCGGTATGTCCTTCACACTTTTTGGCCAGATTTAGTGTATTTTCACAACAAAACACAAGATTTAAAGCAAATAATGCTGTACATTTTGAAAAAAGCTGGTGTGAATATGTAACCTTAAGGCTGTGATTTAAACCTGGAGGGACTGTCTGATTATTGTATTAATTTGATGAATATTTAGTTATCTTTAGTTATTTTCAGTAATTTAATGTCTTACATGGTGATTTTATTTAGCATAATTCATGAGCTTGCTTCAGTGTAATGTTTCATAATTAGTATAGAATCTATACAGAATATTTACAGGTTTATTTAAAATTGAAGATATCTTTAGTGTATATTAATACATTTTGTTCATAAGTATTTATATTTTTGTTTACAATAAAATTGCAATATATATATATATATATATATATATATATATATATATATATATATATATATATATATATATATATATATATACACTTGAAGTCATGAATTATTCGTCCCCCTGTTTATTTTTTTCCTCAATTTCTGTTTAACGGAGAGCAGATTTTTTCAACACATTTCTAAACATAATAGTTTTAATAACTCATCTCTAATAACTGATTTATTTTATCTTTGCCATGATGACAGTCAATAATATTAGACTAGATATTCTTCAAGACACTTCTATACAGCTTAAAATGACATTTAAAGGATTAATTAGGTTAATTAGGTTAATTAGGCAAGTTATTGTATAACAATGGTTTGTTCTGTTGAAAATAATAAACTATAATAAACTAATGAAAAATAAATAGCTTAAAGGGGCTAATAATTTTGATCTTAAAATGTTTTTTAAAAAATTAAAAACTGCTTTTATTCTAGCTGAAATAAAACAAATAAGACTTTTTCCAGAAGAACATACTGTAAAAAATTCCTTCCTCTATAAAACATCATTTGGAAAATATTTAAAAAAGAAAAAAAATATTTATATATATATATGTATATATATATATATATATATAATAAATAATAAATAACTATTATTATTAAAAAAACATTTATTGTTTTATTTTACAATTTAATGAATAATACTTTGCTTGTGTTTTTCATCGCCAAACAAGCCAGATCCTGTCAAGTCCTGACGAATAAATATATAAATATGCAGTTATATACATGCAAATTAAACATATTATTAACATAAATTAATGTTGCATCTCCAGGCATACATCCCAAATCGCTGCTTTTATATATTATTTTTATTATTATTGATAACTTTTTCTGTTATATTGATTTTATTCATTTATTTATTTTTAACTGTTTATATAATTATTTTTGATCATCTAAAAATAATTTTTAATAATACCCAAACTATTTTTATATTACTTGATTTGATTATATTTGATTTGATTTAATTTAATCATTTATATTTTTTTATTTATAACTAAATTTTGTATTTTTTATTTCTGAACATTTTTCAAGTATATTCTATTTATACATTTTATAAATATTTATTTATATTTTCATTTATAATTGTCCTGTTTTAATATTTTTTCGTTTATACACACACACACACACACACACACACACACATACACACACACACACACACACACATATATATATATATATATATATATATATATATATATATATAAATATATAATTATATAGTTGTTGTCATTATTATTATTGACCATTAATAGCTTTATTTACAACTTCTCTATTTCCTTAATAATATTTTTGCGTGTATTTTTTAAACATTTTTGTAAAGGGATGAGAAAAATATATAATTTAATCACCTAACAAGCCTAATAAATAAATATGCAATCATATACAATTAAATAAAGCATACACACATAGGTATTTGTGATTTTTTTTAAATTTACTTTTTCAAATATTTTTAAAATGATTTTTAACATATTCAGGAATTTTTCACTGTATTTCCTATAAAAAAAATTCTTCTGGAGAAAGTCTTATTTGTTTTATTGCAGCTAGAACAAAAGCAGTTTTTATTTTTTTTAAACCATTTAAAGGTCAATATTATTAGGCCACTTAAACAATATTTGTTTTGAATTTTCCACAAAACAAACCACCGTTATACAATGACTTGCCTAATTACTGTAACTTTACCCTAATTGACCTAGTTAGGCCTTTAAGTGTCCTTTTAAGCTGAATACTAGTATCCTCAAAACTATATACGTTGACTTCAACTGTAAATAACCAAAAGCCTCTGTTGTGTGTCTGCAGGCAGAGATCCCGAATCGCTTCGAGCTGAGTGTGCGGCGTAACGCAGTGCTGGAGGACTCATACAGACGCATCCTGTCCGTCAAGCGCTCGGAGCTGCTGAAGGCCCGCCTCTGGGTGGAGTTTGAGGGAGAAAAGGGGCTGGACTATGGGGGCGTGGCCAGAGAGTGGTTCTTCTTGATCTCCAAGGAAATGTTCAATCCGTATTATGGGCTGTTTGAGTATTCAGCCACGTGAGTGAAGCAGCTTTCATTCTCTCAGAAAAATCAGACTCTTAGGAGTTGTGCTGTCAGATTGCATTATAGGCAAAACACTGCAGACAAAATTATTAAATGAGTGTGAATGGATGTTTCCCAGTGATGGGTTGCAGCTGGAAGGACATCCGCTGCGTAAAACATGTGCTGGATAAGTTGGCGGTTCATTCCACTGTGGCGACCCTTGATTTATAAAGGGACTAAGCCGAAAATAAATTGAATGATTTTTATAGACCTTTTTCTTGGAACGCAAAATTACCCATGATGCTTTGCATGTATGCGCAAGGAGAATGCGAAGAACTTCTGGTCGGCAGCTGATGCGTGTAAACAGTCACATTTGGACAGCTTTGAAACGATAGTTTTAATCTATTTTACCTGCTTTTATCCTCTTTGAGCTAACACTGTTGTCCATCAGCAGCATCTCCTGGACTGATCATTTACAGAAATGCGATCTAATAGGATGGAAAACAGCTGCTGTGAGGCGTTTTCCCCTCGTTGTCAGACGGCATCTTCTGCAGTTTAAATGAAGCCTCGTCATCGCTAAAGTCAACATTTTCTCTTTATTTCAAATATATAACCAGCCCAAACAAATGTAATTCACCAAAATGTTTGACACACACACGTAGCCTGTACTGTGCCACTGACACACTGATTTAATAACTGTGACAAAGTGAAAATATAGGCTAGTGTCATTTCGAAATGACTGAAAAACACAAACCCTGGTGAAAACAACACACGAAATAAAACACAAACGGCTCGCGATTAGAATGAACAGCAAATCAGCAGCAGAGGATCAATAACAGACTTTTATTGCTCATTTTTGTAATTGCACGACTTTCATACCTGTTAAGTTTCATGCCAGTACTCTGGTTTGCTCTCTCTCTCTCTGTGTGTGTGAGTGAGTGTGTGTGTGTCTGTGTGTGTGTGTGTGTGTGTGTGTGTGTGTGTGTGTGTGTGTGTGTGTGTGTGTGTGTGTGTGTGTGTGTGTGTGTGTGTGTGTGTGTGTGTGTGTTAAAGAGCCGCTGAGCTAACAGCTGACAGGCTGACACACACTGTATTTCTGACGGCAGACACGTGAACTAGGAGAACGTTTTTCTCGTATTTCTGACGTGCTTGAACCACATGTGACAGATTATAACAGCTTTAACAGACACATTTTTAAGTTGTGTGTCACAAAAACACTTTGTTATCCATTAAAAACGTTGTTGAAACCCATTTTCGGAGCGCAAATGACCAGTTGTACACGCTGTAAACGGAAGTTTTTAGCATTCTACCGGAAGACGCTGGTCGCTATGGCGCCCTCCATGCAGCAGCCATGAAAAAGGTCTATAGTCCGTTTTGTTGTGACTTTTTTGACTTAAATCTTAAGTAAATGGACGTGGAAAGTGTGTGAGTAGTCAAAGAGAAGTTAAAACCCTTAATGTAATCAGTGGCGCCCCCAGAAAACTTTCTTAGGGGTGGCCAGAAGAGGCCGCACCAAATCTTGGGGTGGCACACAAAAAAGTAATGAATTAAGTGTAATGTTATATTTTTGTTTTTGGTAAATGTAATATTGTAGTTTTTATTCATTGAATTAATTCTTCTTGAAATATTGATATTGATATTGATATATACTGTATAAATAACTTTTATAAATAACTTTTTACGTGCTTTTATTGTACATCATATGGTATATGCCATGTCTAAAATTAATGAAGATTAATGAGTTTATTATTCCCAGAGATGGGTTGCTGCTGGAAGGGCATCCATTGTGTAAAAATTTGCTAGATAAGTTGGCGGTTCATTCCACTGTGGCGACCCTGGATTAATATAGGGACTAAGACGAAAAGAAAATGAATGAAAGAATAATGAGTTTATTAATAACCCAAACAAATGATCAAACTGAACCAAAAAGGCATTACTATACACACTCACTATACCTAATAATATCATTTATCCATGTTACTTTTTGAGCCATTTTATTAATGCAGCTTCTTCTATTGATAAACTGTACCTTAAGGTAAATATTAAATTGCCATTGCTGTCTATTGAAGGTGTGTGCGTGCTGTCAACGACGATCGGGAAGGGTAGTGGCGGTTCTAGTTTAAATGACACCCTGGGGGAACCACCCTATACACCCCACCTCCCTTGAATTGTTAGATTTGTTATTCAATAAATATAACAATTTATTTATATTTATTTTAAATAAATACAATTAATATTATTATACAATTAATATTCTGAATAAATAACAGAAATCAATCCTAAATATTACTGGAAAACAACAACTGGAGTGATATGCCAAGATCACTTAAGAAAACTTTTGCATGAAAATTAATTATGACATTTCTAAAGAATACAAAAAATGTATTATAGAATTATCTGTGGTCTTAGACCAGATCATGGCTGAGAAATCATGTTATGAAGTATTACCTCCCTGACTCATTATCCCTCCTTTCTGCTTTAAAGGCATGCTTAGTGAAAGTAACATCATCATCATATTATAAAAACTTTAGTCGACTTTCACCTCTGCACAAAAGGCTGTTACTCCGTTTCACGGCGCATGAGCGGCGCGTATTTTGTCGGCGTGCATGCAAACAACCAACCGGAATTCACACGGGAGTGCGTGAGGCGCGTGGGAATGGTTTTCTGCGCGCATGCGTCAGTTTGCTTTCACCAGCATTCAGCATTGAACCAGCACTAAGGGGGAGAGACAATGAATCAGCTACGTCAGTAACACCAACAATAATTTAGTGGCTGCATATTATTTATTTAAATGTTGTGGATTTATAAGTACATAATGTCAACAGCAAAATTATATTGGGGTGGCCGAAGGGGTGGCCACAGGGGTGGCCAGAGTTTACCGAGGGGTGGCCGTGGCCTGGATGTAATGAACTGTAATGACTGTAAATTGTAATCAAGATGTTAATGTGACTGTTTCAGGGACAACTACACCCTGCAGATCAACCCAAACTCAGGTCTGTGTAACGAGGACCACCTCTCCTACTTTAAGTTCATCGGCCGGGTGGCTGGTATGGCGGTTTATCACGGGAAGCTGCTGGATGGTGAGTAACCAGTCAAGACCAAACACAAACACAACTCATATTCACACTGTTTTACTGCGGCTCTGGGGCCTGTTGCACAAAACAAGTTCAACACACTCTGAGGTGCAGAGTAAGTTTTGGGTTGACAAATCCAAAGAAGTGCAAACGGGTAAAGATCGAGTTAGGTTAACCCTGGTTTTGCCCAGGATTAGTGACTAACTCTGGTGTGTTTTAAATGTTAAAGGGGATCTATTATGTGAAAGTGACGTTTATAAGGGGTTTAAACATGGTGGAGTGTCAGCAGTGTGTAAATATCTTCAGCCTCTAATGGTCAACATGAATGAATTGTATTTGTTATAATCAGACTTGATAAAAACACTTTGATTGACATTCTCCCTTTGTACGTGTCATCAGAGGGGGAAAGCCCCGCCCACTAGTGACCATCTCTCCCTCATTAGCATCTGAGGTTAGTCTTGTTTTGGAATCTGCCACTATGCTAACACATAGGCATTTGTAGCTCCACCCTCTTCTGAAAAAAGCACAATCTCATTTAAATTTAAAGTGACAGTCACCGAAATTCCTCAATTAGGATAAAAGCCTAAAAGGGTCAGTTTCAGGGAGTTATTACACATTATCTGTGTGCTATTTTCAGCTGAAACTTCACACACACTATTAATATTTTACATCTCGTAAAATGGAGCATAATAGCTCCTCTTTAAATATGAATAATATGTAATTTTTAAATATGTAAATGTTAAGCATTAATAATATTAACTGAAAATTTGACAGTATTTGAATATATAAAATATAAATAAATATAATTAATATAATATAAATTAATTTATTAATAATAGCAAAAATTAATTTGACTCTATCATGCTTTGTGTAAAACTCATTCAGCAAAACAAAGCCATGCGCAGGAGGACTGGTAGTGGCTTTATTGCCAAAATATTACAAATATATTGTATATTATGATAATTATATTCCAATAATAGCTGCCACTTACAAATGTCACTTTACTCGCAGCTGATTGGTCCAATTTGGGTTTGCATCTCTAACCTATAATAAACCCACCTTCTTAAGGCCAAAACAACAGATGTCACCTGCTCTCAGCTTTGTGTTGCTCTGAAGTGTTTTTGTTGTTGTTTTTGTCTGCGTAGCATTCTTCATCCGACCATTCTACAAGATGATGCTGCAGAAGCCAATCACGTTACAGGATATGGAGTCAGTGGTGAGTCACATGCACTGCTTAGCCAATAAGAAACAATTATATACTCGGAAAATCAGCTTTTTTTGGAGAAAGCTAATTTTTTTTTTGCAATATTTTTATTTTATTTTTTATTTATGTTTTATTTATGTATTTTTATTTTATTTTTATTTATGTTTTATTTATTTTATTTTTTATTTATCCTTTATTTGTTTCGTTTTTCATTTTAATATTTTTTTTACATTTATTTTATTTTACTTACTCTTTATTTATTTTTTATTTTTTGTTAGTTTTATTTCTTTATTTTATTTTTTAAATATTATTTTATTTTTTTATTTTAATCTTTTTATTTTGTTTAATATTTTATTTTATTTTATTACTGGCATAATTTCATTCCAGCAACTGTTTATATACGTATTTTTATTAAGGTAAAAACAATTATTTAATAATTTTCAAGCAATTTTTGTTTTTACTTGATTTAATTCAATTATATTTTATTTTATTTTTTATTTTATTATTTTTAATTTAATTAAATTGTTTTTTATTTAACGTAATTTTATTTTATTTTATTTTATTTTATTTTATTTTATTTTATTACTGGCATAGTTTTATTCCAGTAACTGATTATATACTTATTTTTATTCATGTAAAAATATTTTTTTAATAAATCCCAAGCAATTTTTGTTTTAATAGATTTAATTTTATTTTATTATTTGAAATTAAATTTTATTTTATTATTTTTAATTAAATTTTATTTTATTTAATATGTTTTATTTTATTTTATTTTATATTATATGGTGTGTTCAGTAACAGTAGCAAATCATTACAAACAAAGTCAATATCTCTGGGTTGTTAGAAGTAGTTAAAGTTACATTTTAACACACAGTGGGTGCAGAGAACACTAATAACGTGGTTAATATCCCATAAAGTTTTGCCTTAGGCGCTTCACACTCAAAATACCGGTAAAACACTTGTACTGAACTCTCAACCTGTTGTTTTTGCTCATATTTCAGGACAGCGAGTATTTTAATTCCCTCAGGTGGATCCTAGAAAACGACCCCACAGACCTGGACCTCCGGTTCACCATCGACGAGGAGCTTTTTGGACAGGTATTCTTCTCTAAATCTAATGACACTGTCATTTTATTTAGAATTTTATATCATACTGTATATTAATGTCAAAAATCTGAGGTAAATATTTTGCAGTTTTTTGCATTTGTTTTATCTGTATTATATTGTCCATGAAGAGAGCTGTGCTTAGCCAATAGTGATGTTTCCATACAATGATATGAGTTAGATTTAGATTAGATGAGGAACTTTTTAGGCAGGTACGTTTCTCTAAATGGAATGTACACTCATACAGGGTTTCTGCAGGGTCTAAAGATATGAAAACATTTCAGTTTTAGCCCTTAAAAAGTTTTAAAATCACTGAACTTTTATTTTTCTTCGACTTAAATAATTGTAATTCATTTCATTTTAATTATTTTTTTTAATGTTATGTTATTTATTTTATTTACATTTTATTTTGTTATGTTAGATCAACATCATTATTTAAAAAGTTTTTAAATCAATGAACATTTTTTTTAATTGAATTGTAATTTATTTATTTGTTTTTTATGTTTTATTTTTGTTTTTGTTTATTTGTTTTATGTTAATAATTTATATTATAAATTTTTTTTTCATATGTTAGCCCAACATCATTATTTAAAAAGTTTTAAAATCACTAAACAATTACTTTAGATTTTAAACAATTATAATTTGTTTAATATTTATTTTATTTACATATTTGTTTATTTATTTATTTGTTTGTTTATTTTATTTTATTATGTTAAATTAAAATTCATTGGTAACACTTTACAATAAGGTTCATTAGTTAATGCATTTACTAACATGAACTAATCATGAACAACACTTGTACAGCATTTATTAATCATAATTGAACATTTACTAATGCATTATTAACATTCAAGTCCGTGCTTGTTAACATTAGTTAATGCACCATGAGTTAACATGAACTAATAATGAACTACTGTATTTTTATTAACTAACGTTAACTAACATGAACAGATACAGTAGTAAATATATTGTTCATTGTTTGTTCATCTTAGTAAATGCATTAATTAACATTAACTAATGAACCTTATTGTAAAGTGTGACCAATTCGTTCATTCATTCATTTTCTTTTCAGCTTAGTCCTTTTTTTAATCTGGGGTCGCCACAGCGGAATGAACCGCCAACTTATCCAGCATGTGTTTTACACAGCGGATGTCCTTCCAGCCACAACCCATCTCTGGGAAACATCCACACACACTCATACACTAGGGATAATTTAGGGATAAACTATGCGAACGCAGGGAGAACATGCAAACTCTACACAGAAACGCCATCAGGCATGGTTCAGTTGGCCGGCCCTGGCCCGATTGGAAGAGGTGTGCCTGAATGCGGTTCACTTGGGCTTTGGCGCGGTACGCTGGTAGTGTGAGTGCAAAGTATGTCTGAGCACGAAACTAAAGAGGAGATGTGAATTTTTAGGGACTGTTTGATATGGATTTATTAATCTTTCTTACTGTTCAATGAACGCAAACTGTCGAAGATTATTAAGGACGCAAACCCCTCACTGCACCACAGCTGCACCTTCAGCAAACCTCCTAATTCCTGCAGCACGAGGGCTTCGTGATTGTTTATGTGTGTCAAAGGTGGCTGATCTGTTCTGGGAAATATTTAACTGTGTCAATGCATATCAAACGATTAAAACAAAATACCTAAAGAAATCTCCACTTAACTGAATAGCACATCATCGATGACGTAAGTGTGCTCCGGCTTGGATGCATTGTGAGTGCAGGCCATAGGGCTGAGGGGTGGAGGGACAAGCGTGCTTCAGCACAGTTCAGGGCAACTGTACATAGAGTGAGTACGCCCTTAGTTAGAACATTAATAATTGTAGTTTATTTAATTCAATTTTATTAGATTTTTTAATTTTATTTACTTGTTTTTTGGTATTTATTTATTTGAATTTGAATTTAGATTTATTTATTGATTTGGATAGCCCCTTGAGATGAATCATCTCATTTTCGAGGGGGTCCCTAAAAAGTTTATAAATCATATCAAATAAATAAATAATAATCACATAATTGATTAATTAATAAATAGTTTAATTATTAAATAAATAAATCACAAGTACATACAACACACCATAATGTACATACAACTAGCAAACAAACAAACAAACACTCCACCTGAAACACTTCCCACAATCTAAAGCCTAAAAAAATGTTATTTTATTCTCTTATGTTTGGTTAACATCATTATTTAAGATGTTTTAAAATCACTGAACATTTTTTAGAACTTAATTGTAATTTATATAAAATTTTTATTTATATATTATATATTATATTATATATTATATATTTTTTATTTTATTTATTTGTTTGATCTTATTTATTTACTTTTTATTTCCCTATATTAGATCAACATCATTATCTAAAAATTTAAAATCACTGAAGATTTTTTAAGAACTTAAAAAATTAGTTTAGTTTTTTTATTTTGTTTTTTTACATTTTATTTACATTTTATTTTCCCATTTCCATATAATGTGACCTCTTACAACCATTTAGTTTATTTTTAAACATTAAAATATTTATTTATTTCAGTATTTCAAATAGCATTACTACAGATTACTTGGACCACCATTAATATTTTAAGTTTTAAAAGGCCTAACAAGTTTTTAAAGACTTAAAAAATTGTAATTCCTTAAATTGTTATTTATTTTATTTTCATTTTTTAAATTTAAAATTATATATATATTTTTCATAAATTATATATATATATATATATATATATATATATATATATATATATATAGTGACAAATATTTTTTAATTTGTAATTTTCTAAGACATAAATACTTCATTTAATTTTAATATATTACGATTTTTCCTTGATTGTTGTTTATTTTATGTACATGTTGTTTTCTTATGTTCATGTGATGTGACGTCTAATAACCAAAAGTAGTAAAGTAGATTTAAGTACTATTTTCCATTCATAATTCTCTTTAAAAGCTCTTAAATTTGACTTGAAACCCGCAGAAACCCTGAATATAATCATTCCCGATAACATACTGAATGCTGCATGATAACTGTAGCCAAGATTGAGTGGATGGCATGAATGAAAGCTTTATAAACTGATTATTCCAGTGATGTTGATCTGTTTGTTCTGCAGACGCACCAACATGAGCTGAAACCAGGAGGTGCTGATATCGTGGTCAATGACACCAACAAGAAGGAGTACATTCAGTAGGTTTTACCGCCATCTAGTGGCACAGTATAAAGCACCTTTTGTTTTGTTTTTAATTAATAACCTTTTATACTGTTATATATTATTATTTATACTTTATTGTTATATATTAATGTTTTTTATTTATTTAGAAAAATATTTTACATTTATGGTTATTTTATTTATTATTGTTATCGTATATTGTTTTATTATTATTATAAAAAATTAATTTTATTTTATGAATAATTATTATTATTTAATAAATTAGTTTTATTATTTTGCATATAATAATTAACCTACTGCATCTCTAAACATCTCAGGGTTCAAAATGACTGTAAGATACTGTTTATTTTATTATTTTTAAATTTATATTATGATTATTATTTAAAAATAACTTTATGAATCTTATTATTATTATTATCATTATTTAATACGTTTTCTTTTCTTTATTCTTTATGTAATTTTACTTTTTTTTCTATTATTTTGCATAATTATTGACCTACTTTTATTAAACACAGAAAAAATATTTTTGGATGAATTTTGCAAACTGTTATGCTATAGTATTTTTTTTACTATGGATGTCAATAGTTATAAGCTTCCAAAGGAAACATAGATCTTTAAAAGCAGTAGAGCTCGAGTAAATCTTCAAGTTTATTTATAAAGCAAATGTTGTGCTAAAGTTCTGTACAAAGCAATACCCAAAATTAAATATTACCACAACAACAACAACATAAAGCTTATAAGATATTGTACAAGTAAAAGGATGCAAAATAAGCCATAAATACACTCAAACTTGATCTTGAAATGTTAAGTTTTCATTTTTGGCTGAAATATATCTTTAAAGTCCTATTCTGCCTCTTTTTACAATGTAAAATAAGTCTGATGTATAATTAGTGTGTATGTGTAAAGTTTCAGCTCAAAATAGCACATAAATAATGTTTAATAACTCTCTGAAACTGTATCTTTTAGGTTTTGATCCTAATTGTGCTGTTTTGGTGACTGTCGCTTTAAATTCAAATGAGATTGTGCTCTTTTTAAAGAGAGCGGAGCTACAAATGCCTGAGTGTCAGCATAGTGGCAGATTCAAAAACAGGACTAATGTTATCTGTGGGAAAATCTGAAAATGTCAGTGTGTGCTTCGTGTTTCTGTCAGGCTATTGAGACTCCTGTCGCTGTTCATTTGTGCTTCATCTAAAACTCCCCATCTATAGTCCTCTTAGTCTCTGCTGACATTATCTTCAGCAGCTCAAACACTCTAATGGCTAATGGACAGACGGCTGCTTCTCACTCATGGCTGCTGTTTATGCAAATGAGGGAGAGATGGGCACTAGTCGGCGGGGCTTTCCCCCTCTGATGACACGTACAAAGGGAGAATGTCAATCAAAGTGTTTCATTCATCAAGTCTGATTATAACAAACACAATTCATTCATGTTGACCATTAGAGGCTGAAGATATTCACACACTGCTCACACACAACTGTGTTTAAACCCATTATAAAAGTGATTTTTGCATGAAAGGTCTCCTTTAAAGTCATCAATGTTTGCCAGATCATGCTTCAGGATTGATTTCAGCGCTGTCTCTGGTGTTTGTTTGCAGTCTGGTGATGCAGTGGAGGTTTGTGGATCGCATACAAAGACAGATGACGGCCTTTAAGGAGGTAAAGACAAACATTCTGCCATTTGGGTCACTGTTAAGAGTGAGAGTTTCTCTGTCTTATGTCACATTTAAAAGTCCCATGAGGTGCTTTGAGATGAGCATTTTGATGTTTGACATAATCTCAACTGAAACATGAAGACAGGGAGGGGCATAAATTAGCCACGCCCCTTTTTAAAAAACCGGCCAATAGTGTTTAGTTTTGATTACAGCTCTGCCAGTGAGAGTGGTTGAGCTCAAGCGCATCAAATAAAAAGTCAATGAGAAGAAGGGGGCGGGGCATGTCAGACACTAGAGAGCATTTGATTGGTCAGGAGATTTGATTAGAAACTGAAGTATGAGGTGATGTCAATAAATACGTTGATCCATTTAGGCTGAAGTGACAAAACTGCAAGCTTTACATGTTTATATCAGGTTTATATCTTCTAAACCTGGAGCACACTGGCTTATAGATATCCTTAACACTAACATACTGATACTGACAATGTTTATTTTAATTATTATTATTTTTTTAATAGCCATGATGTCACTACAGAGGAGTCAAGCTTTAAATAGTAATATTCATTCATTCATTCATTCATTTTCTTTTCGGCTCAGTCCCTTTATTAATCCGGGGTCGCCACAGCAGAACCAGAGGCTCGAACCAACGACCTTCTTGCTGTGAGGCGTAAGCATGGCCTACTGCGCCACTGCATCACCAATAGGTTGATATTATTTGATAAATATTATTTGGTTATTCTTGAGTTAGATGCTAATGGTCTAATCTGATTCTTAATGATCTATGCTAAGCTAAAACTCAACTGTTTAACTCTAGGGAGCTGTAAAATGAGGCTATTTTCTTTTTTGAAAAGTGCTATGTTACCTCATATATAACATACTTCCTTGTTTTTCGCTTTTTTTTTTGCTGTGATTTTTCACTATAAAAATGACTGATTTTGTGGCTGTAATACCCAGAATTTTGTGGACAATTTTGCGATTAAAATATATAAATATAAAAAATTATATATATATATATATATATATATATATATATATATATATATATATATATATATATATATATATATATATATTCATTTCTTTTCTTGTCAGCTTAGTCCCTTAATTAACCTGGAGGAAACCCACGCGAATGCAGGGAGAACATGCAAACTCCACACAGAAACGCCAACTGAGCCGAGCCTCGAACCAGCGACCTTCTTGCTGTGAGGCGACAGCACTACCTACTGCGCCACTGCTTTGCCATATATATATATATATATATATATATATATATATATATATATATATATATATATATATATATATATAAAACCGGTCCAGTAAGTGGCGGTTCATTCCACTGTGATAAACCAGGAAAAAAGCTGAAGGAAAATGAATGACTGAAATCAGTCAAGTGCATTAATCAATAACATTAAAACTGACATTAATTAAATATGAACAATCTGTTGTCATTTCTGATATTTGGGATTTAGATTTAATGCAAGTAGAGCATGTAAATACTGGAAACATTGTAAATTAAGCTTGGTAGATTCAAATAATGTAGTATAAAACATTTTGAAACATCAATATCTGTGCATTGTCCATAAATAAAAAAAAAAACTTATCAGATCTATAGGTGTTATGAAGTGATATAAATAATGTAGAGTTTTATACATCATCTTTTTATTTTTTTATTTTAAAAATAGCTTAAATTAGCAAATAAAGCACAAGATAGGCCTACTGGGCTCAAAGGGGATGCCTCTCAGACACTTTTAGAAGCCGTCATTCATTCATACATTCATTCTCACTAGACTTGGTCTTGGTCTCTTGTTTATCCTCATAGCATCCACATGGGATAAAGGAACGGCATCTTAACTCTGTCTTTCATGAAATGGAGTTGCCGTTTAATGTATAGTAAATCAGACTCATTCAAAGTAGCAAAAACACGTCATGAACGCATGTTACACTTCCAACTGTACAGTGCGTTTTCTTTTCTTATAATGCACAGAGTTTTGAGGTAAGAGATGTTTTCATTTGCCATTCAGTGACAGTCAAGACAGTCTCATCCAGTTCATCAAACTCCGTCTTTTAAAATTGAAAGCTGAATAAAACAGCCTCCTAATAGAAGCCGGCGTATCAGCGTGCTGCTACATTGAAAACATGATTCAATTCGCACCTTCTGATTAGTTCTCGGGATATAGCGGCTTTTGCTGTCAAAGGCAGGTGGCGTTAAGCTGCTTTTGCCAACAAACTGTTATTTCTGAATGCACTGACGCTGTGATTTAGATGATTTGGAGCAAATCTATTGACGGTGTACTACGTGCCTAAAGCATTCACTCAATGTCATTAGCTCATTTTTGGCGAAAGAGGCATTTAGCGGCTTTTGCATCTGAACTCTTCAAGTGTGGAGTCCCGTGAAGGAGATGTTTTGTGTTTACCTCATTATTAAAGTTGTTGCACGTCCACCCGTTTCCATCTCAGAATGAGCGAGTTTGAGCTATTTCTAGATTAAGGTAGCATTCAGAAAAAATAAAACACCAGCAAAGAAACTCAACACAAAGAAACATAGAAACCTACAGCGAAGTATCATAGATATGTACACTAGATGTCGCCTGGCCTATTGTTGTCTATTGGACGGAATGCGTCAATAGCGCCGCCATCTTGCTACAGGGTAGCGCTCCTTTGAAATGAATGCAGGACCAAGGTACAGTGGAGGACTGTGGCCATGCAAAGTCAGAGATTTACACATATATCTGTGATCGGGAGTTTTCCTGGATGTTAGTGTGTAATTTTATTTTCTAATTACAAAAATTATAATTTTACATCACTTTTCTACATTGATGGATCAGTGACCGCACGGGCATTCCTGACTAAAAGCTTGTGTTTGTGTGTACAGAAATGTACTATTCACCCTCCCTGTTAAATTTGATCTAATCATGTCCTGAAACACAGCTCCTCTCCTGCTTTCACCTCTCATACTGACGGAGGGAGCGATTCGTTTGTGAATGAATCCCCCGAACGACTCTTTCACTAACGTTAGGCGACAATAATAGCGCAGCATCTCATTGTCATATTTCTTTTGCATTGTTTGCTGATTTTATTCAACAAAACTAGCATAAGCCGAGTGTTTAGTGCGAGTTGGAGCTGCTTTGCCGTATGGTGAATGCAGTAAGTGACTGTTATCATCAATAACGTTACCTGATTAGCACAAAAGTTCATAACATACAAAAACAGAAAAAAACATAATATTACCTATGAAATGTTCTGCCTTTGTGCTTTGATTTCTTTGTTTGCTCGTTACTACACCTGTAGACAGCACTAAAGTCCCGTATCTTCACGTAATAACACTGTCTTGTCTAGCGCGGGTGAATGACATTTGTCCTGGGAGCACTGTACCAATATGGCGGCGCTATTGACGCATGCTCAGGGTCCCTATGCGATATCTAGTGTATATATCTGTGGCGAAGTATAAATGCACGACTAGACATAAGGCAGGCGCCGTGGGTCCCGCCGATCACTCCACGCAGAAGTTTCCATCAGCCTTAAATGGTTAAACTCAACTGGTAAACTCTATGGGAAGCTGTAAAATGAGCCTTTTTGGGAAAAAGTTCTGTGTTACTTTATGTAAACGGCACAATTCTATACAGTAGGATACACTGTTCTTATATTTTTTGTCCTGATGTCTTGTCTTCAGGGTTTCTATGAGCTGATTCCTCAGGACCTGATCAAGATCTTTGATGAAAATGAGCTGGAGGTAGGCTTTTGACTTTTGTTGGTGTGTTTAGTTTCTTCATTTGAGGACTGTAACCCTGAGTCATTTCTCTGTGTGTGTGTGTGTGTGTGTGTGTGTGTATCCTTCAGCTTCAACAGACTGGATCTTCCTCCGTACGAGTCGTTCGAGGAGCTGCGAGAGAAGCTGCACATGGCCATCGAGAACGCACAAGGCTTTGATGGAGTCGACTAATCTGAGTCCCGCTGCCACGGCAACAGCGTAACCACAGCAACAGCATCCCGACGACACGTGTGCATGTTTGTGTGAGCGGCGACACGATCCGGTGAACACGTGTTATAAAAGCAGATCTCCATCACCAAATCTGTACGTTTACATCAGAAGGCTTTGCAATGTCCTCCTGCACACCGCTGTCAGCATCTGTAGAGTTGATCATATCTATGCATTTGAGCATAACTAATGGCCCGTTTCCACTGAGTGGTACAGTAGGGTATGGTTTAATAGGCTTTTATGGCCATTTCCACTGTCAAAAAGGTACCTAAAAGCGAACCGTACCCTACCACTTTTTGGGTATCCTTTCGAAAGGATACGTAGCACGACAAAAGGGTACCAAAAGGCAGAGCAAGACGCACAACTGAATGCTGTTGGTTTACAGAGATACGTCACTAGCTCGTGAAGAAGCAGGAGAATGAAAACAAAGCAATTTTTAAATACACAGCCAAGACATTACACCGTAATAATATATACATATAATAACGAACCATGGTCGACAAGAGCTCAAGCAAACCTTGTCGTCGTCTTGATGAACAGCCACGAAGCCAAGATGAAGAGCAGAATCTACTAGGGCTGCACAATACATCGTTTCAGCATCAAAATCGCGATGTGCGGATCAACGATAGTCACATCGCAGGAGGTGCGATGCAAAGCAAAAAAAAAATATTATTATTATATATATATATATATATATATATATTAGGGATGGGAAGATTAACCGATATGTATCGATACGCGGTCATGCGCGTGCACGATGCGAGTGCATCGGTTGAGCAGCAGAGGATGAATGAAATTTTGGAAGCAAATCGAGATGCATCGGTTTTTGCGAGATGCATCGATTTTTCCGAGATACAGCTTATATTTTTAATATAGAATGTATTTTTTATTTATTAACAAGTGTTGTCAACCTGTTTTTGGCGCATAATTTAATCGACCTACATAAAGTATGCCTTAGCAACGGATTTGTGGATGTGTACACTTCAACCAGTGTATCAGGTGTGCGGATGAAGCTAGTGGAGCGCCCTCAGAAAGCGCGAGAAGCAAAACAAACATTTTATTCCTCACTGAGTTTTAAATCTAAAGTATGGCAACATAATGGATTTAAGGATGGACGACTTGACAGGACAGATGCAATTTGCAAAATGTGCCGCGCATCTGTAAAATACGTGGGCAGTACGACTAATCTGAAATCTCACTTGAAGCGGCGCCACGGTGTTGTTGTGAAAGCATCTTCCAGTGTTCCTGCATCCCCGGCTTCCTGCCCTGCTTCAACTGTAGCTACCAGCTCCAAAAGTGGTGAGAAAAGCATTGCAAGTTTTTTTTTCCGTGCGCAACAGTTTTGTGCGCTCTACGCCAATAACGAATGCTATTGCATTGTTCATCTGCAAAGATATTCAGCCTAGTGTCACGGAGAACGAAGGTTTTAAAAACCTCCTCCTGTTAAATTTTTTTTTATTATAATAATAATAATAATAATAATGATAAAAATAATGGGTGTCACGGTGGCACAGTGGGTAGTTTGACCACCTCACAGCAAGAAGATTGCTGGTTTGTTATATTTTTATTAGCCTGTTGTTTACAGTGACAGTGATGTTTCAAAGCAGCATAACACTGCTAGTTCACAACCTTAAGTTTTGAATAATCAGTGACAAAATATATCTTTGTAAAACTTGTTTTCATAGTTGAAAAGTTAAATCACAATTCTTGTTGTGCAATGCTCAACCTTTATGTTGAAAGAGTGCAAATATATATATATTTTTTTAATATATATTGCACTTATACATTCTGTTTATCTTGAAAATACTTAAATAATATGTGCTATATGTTCTAAAATGGCCCTCTACTGTAAACTGACACTCTGGCTCTGAGAGAAGAGCCAGTTTGTAAAAAAAGTCTTGGTTTTGCTTGGTTTATAAATAATCAAACTCATTCAATGGCACAGCATCCTCTTTCACATCATCTCATAAACTTGATCTAATTAGTTAGTGCTGAATTATCGCATTGTATCGTGATATGGGTGTGAATCGTATCGTGTTGCATCGCAATATGTCACAAATGTATCGCTAATATATCGGATCGTATTCTTTGTATCGAGATGCGTATCGGATCGGCATTATAGCTTAGATGCCCAACCCTAATATATATATATATAGTATGGGTGGAGCCAAACCCAAATACGGTATTCGGATAAGCACGAATAGCGTGTTTTTACCAATACTTATTTCGAACAAATACTTAAAAAATTATTTGTATTCGGGAACAAGAAAAAAATTATATCAAAAAGCTGCGTTTCCTCATGAGACCGCAGTGCATGCCCGCGTGAGTGAGTGAGTGAGTCAGACGTTCAGGAGTCGGGGGGCGGGGTGGGGCCGCAGTAAAAGGTGACTGACGCAGGCTGCTGCTCCACACAGCAGCAGAGAAGGCTCGGCAGAGCGAAAAATACTTTACTGCATCACTATTTTTGTTAAATAAATTTTTGTATCTGAACTAGGCTCCAGAGTGAGTTTATAAACTTGTAGCGTACTTAAAGCGGAGTTTGATCGGTATATTATTCCATTAGGCTGCATTATTGACGTCTGCAATCTGTTGCTCTCTGTTTATGTAAGTTAGCTCTGTTAGCGCAGTAATTAAGACAATAGACTGTTGACAGAGTAACGTTAACGTTCGGTTATAAAGGTTAAAACGATGCTTGTGTAGTTGTGTTGAATTGTATGCACTTATAGGAGTTTTATTCGTACGTTTAAATTACTGTCATTTGCAGACAGCAAGATATATGCTAAGCTAGTTAACCTTAGCATAGCTTCCTGTCACTTATAGATATATACATCTATGCCCGTCACTTATTAACTTTTAGGCACCCAAATAGATGAGTGATGCTGCTGCTGAGTCATTCTTGGTCCTCCACCAGCCAAAAAAAACCTTTCTCTAGTTCTTTGTGTGCAGCAGATAAAACGTGATAAGTGATACTGTATGTAATGTGTGCAAAAGTATATCTTAAGTGTGTGTGTGTATGTATATGTATATATATATATATATCGCATATATATATATATATATATATTACATTTTATTGACAAGAACTAATTTTTGCTGGGTTATCTTTTTGGATAGCTATTATAACTACACTTTTTGATGTACCAAAAAATATTTCCTACCATTTTGTCAAATTGCTTTATTTTTATTAGTTTTATAAATAATAAAAATACATTAAATTAGAAATTAGAACTTTAAATTCTTAGAAAAAAAAAATCTAGAGTTCAGATGCCCAAACCTCTAAATGCCATGTAAAATGAGCATTTTTCTCAGCCTTGTATATTTATGTTCAGTTATTTCACTTTAACGGCAATGAAAAGAATGTATTCATCACTATAAAAGTAAAATCACTGAGTCCACACACAGGAGTTGGAGAAAAATGCTCATTTTAGAAGAGAATATTTAATGCCATTTAGAGGTTTTTGCATCTAAACTATTCAAATATGAAAAATAGACTTATTTTTAAAATAGAATTTTTTTAAATCATAATTTTTTGGGGGAAATTTGTTTTTAAATCAAGTTTTAACAGATTTCCCACAGAAAATTATTAGTATTAAAAGTATTAGTATTAAATAGTATAAAAACTGAAGCCTTCAGGCAAATAACAAACTGGCCAGTGCATTCAACCTTCCTCAGTCAGAATTTCGCCATTTGAATAATAAGATAAATTCAAGCATAATAATAATAATAATCAAAGTCTTTCAAACCACCTGAATCCCCTTGGCTACGCGCCTGACTATTTAATTTTACTCAATAAATTGTATGAAGAGAGGACTAATTGATAATATATTTTAATAGCAGTTAAATAATTATTAGCAATATATAATACATATTAAAAAAACAATATTCATTCTTGGCGGGGGTGTGGGGGGACTCGTCCCCACCAATGTCAAGCAAACCTACGCCCTTGAGCGAGAATGAGGTCGACTAAAAACTTTCTGTCATACACAACGCGCACCAAACCATTGGTACCCTTTTGGCAGTGGAAACGCAAGCCTGATAAAAGTGACCCGTATCACACCATACTGTACCACTCAGAGGAAACAAGGAATTGTACATGAGCTTTTAAGTCACGCGCTATAGATGTGCACTATTTGGCTATTCAGAAGATTTCCCCGAAAATACGAGACCATTATATTTTTGGAAATCTGCGCAAATATTAGTTGTTCTTCTAAAGGATTTTGACAATGTCTCCCGGCATCCTTACTTGCATTGATTTTGCTCTTAATCTTGTTTTATTTTGGTTTTTGTTTACATTTTGTGTTTGTTTGTTTACAGACACCCCCGTATGATTATTAAAATCACATTTGTTTTGTACCGCTTTCGAAGGTTGAAGCACTTTTCTAAAAGTCTTACTGTGTATAGATATCCTCTATCAAACTGCATTGTGATTCTGTGCTTTATATATATCATTTATTAAATGTTTACAGCATAAATATTGCTTAAAGTAAGCATGTTTGGTCTCGCGGGAAGCGTATCGGACTGTTAAATAACTCTGCCTTCATTTGTAATATTGTGCTGACGAGCAACTTTTAATGACGAAACACTTTTATGGTCTATACTGTTGTATAATTCAACACTATTGTATGAACATCCGCTGCGTTTCTACTGCGGCTCTGGACGTTTTTGACACTGAAGAGATTCAGAAAGAGTTTTCTAACAGAGCTTTATCAGCAAAGGCGTCTTTCGTTTTAATGTAAATTGTGCTGATTTTAATTGTCATGCCGATCTTTATGGCTACATATTTTTGGACAAGTAATAAAATGAAAATAACTCTTACCATGTGATGTCTTTAATGTGTTCTGTCAAGTCTTTTTTGCCACCCTGCAGCCCAAGACCGGTTACTCACTGAAGCTATGCAGGGCTGAGCCTGGTTAGTACCTGGATGGGAGATCACATGGGAAAAACTAGGTTGCTGTTGGATGTGG